TCATGGAAAGGCGAGGCTGCACGTAGTCCTGGCTGGGAACGAGGCCTGGCTGCGCTGCGACTCGTCTCACGGACATTCCAGTAGCAGGCACGATGACTCCTCCGATCCTTGACTCCAGAAGAACCCGACTACCTGGCCCCGACGTTCCCTGCCCTTTTTATTGTGCCTACATCAAAGGTAACGTGCCGCTAATCCGCTGGCCTCTCATCCAATCAGGAGCCTCGGATTTCCCACTCTTCGCTAATCACACACGTACACACGCTGTGCAGGGAGAGGGCCCCCCTGCCTTCCCGCCGCTCGCTACTCCACCCCACCCCTTACCTGCCTGCTGACCAGTGTGTGTTTTGGTTGTCTCCTATCCGCGGTGGCTCAGCAGCCCCGTCGTGACTATGTAATTATAACCCAAGTCACGGCGCCGCAGTGCACACTAGCCTCGGGGGAGGTCGCCCAATTCCCTGATCGTAGGAAACCGTGAAGTTTGGTCCCATGAGGGGGCTTCTGGGTGAAAACCTGTCGACCAGGTGACCTCCCCTCGGGGCTCTATGTGGGGGTGTGTGTGTGTTCATGTGGGGGGTGGTGAGGGAAGAGCAGCGTCGGCCCCGTCGCTCGGAGGTGGCGGCCACGGAGTCGGCAGGACGGCTTCGCTGCTGCGGCATCACAGTGGCAGGCACGGCTCCGACGGAGCTGCTTCGCTGCTGTGGCACCACACATCATCATCAGCAGCAGCAGTTAAATGATCAGCAAAAGACGGGACAACGTCAGCTTTAACAACAATGTCACGAATCTGGATCATCCTCTCGCATTGTCAAACTTTTCTTTTTTTGTTCACAGTTCAGGTTGCTGTGACTTGTCTTACCAGTGGCGTTAACCCTCGAACCTTACGTGGGGAAAATACTGCACGTTAGTCGGGGGAATGTGGTGCAAAAGTGAATTCAAAAACTACATGAGCAGATAGCTCATAGTAGGTGTCCACTGCACATTTCGTCATTTGTTGTTTCCACTTTCCTCTCTGTCTTGGCTCTAGTAGTGGTCACATCTTCTGGCACCAATCTCTTAATTATGTCGTCGTCAAACTATTCTCTGTTACCTCTTCCTCTCTTGCCAGTTCCTTCCATTTTTCTGAACAACACACTTTAAATTGTCCTGTTGTTGTCCAAATAGTGGCAGTTTCCTTCTCATCACTGCCTGCATCATCATCAGGTTGTCTTTTTCTACGTGCAACCTTTTTCTCACTTCTACGTTTGTCACTCTTTGGGTCCAGCTTAGATGCGGCATCCTGTAGCAATACATTTCGAGTGCCAATATGTTATCTCTGTTAGTCTTCTTTTAATGCCCAAGTCTCACAGGCATGCAAATAAAGCTGTTACTGAACCCGCATGGTCTTAAGATGCTCAGCTTGGTCTTGCAACAGATGTGCTTGCTTCTCCAGATGCTGGGGTGATCACGTGGCCAGTTGGAGATCCTCATCGAGAATTCGAGGTGGTCGTGGCTAGGGGCAGAGCGAGCCCCGCCACACAGAATATCAGCCGGGCCCCCAGTGGGACCGGCTGCTGTTGTTCATTCAGAAGACTTCACGTCCCTGCTCCACGTTCTAAAGAGTCTCCAACTTTGAGGACCCGGACCCGAGCTGTGGTCCGGTCCGTTGTAGCTAGTTACGTGTGATTAGTGTGGATAGCCTGGTGGTCCACCACCATAGAGTACTATCTGGTGAAGGGGCAGTTACCCCTTCGTGTTAACGTGGTAAAGTTAATAAATGTGTTGCCTCCAAAAGTACGTCTGAGTTTCCGTTTGAGCTCACTACACATCTATCATATCAAACTATTTTGCAGCGTAATTAACAGCATACATCTTACACAACTAACACGGTCAAACATGTACCCTTTAAACGAATGCATTTCCCGCTCTGATGAACTTCAAACTGCAGCGTGTTTATCGAATTGTTGTAGAGGGTCGTGGTTTGTTTCAGTTGATTTATTTTGGTATAGCCCTGTGAGCCATTCGGCTCTTGAATCGGGTCCAGCCACAACAAACAAAAAAAACAAAAACACGAACAAGAAAAACATCTTAAAGTGACTATGTGACTTTGCAAACAGAAAATCCATGAAAAACAGCAAAATATTCCTGAAAAAGCACCGTACACCAACGCTGTGTGCAAAAATCCCAGTGGGATGCAATTCAAACAACAACATCAACCACAGGAAAACTTAGAATAAGGCCATCAGTCTAACTCCGTACTACAACAAAACAAACATGTCCAAACCAAAAAACTTTTCGAATTAAAAAAATAAAGCCATAATTGCAACATGACAGTGATCACAGGGACTGTGACCGAATATGTACAATAAACTACATAAATAACATGTAACACCAAATCATAGAGCCCTTAGGTGGCTGCATGAGTTACTCCACAACAACAGAAGCATCAGTCGGAGTAGCAAATTTTTCAATGCACCTTTAAGATCAGCACGCTAAATCAAAATACAGATAATACTTTGCAGCGTCATCCGGAGCGAAAACATTATTTTATTTTAAGCCAATGAATAGCAGTGGCAGCTAGGGGTGTACAACTCCTCTAGAGCAGTTTTGAGAGAATATCTCATTGGTAGCGATTCAAGTTGCAGTTTATTGGCAATAGCATTCCAGACCCTGGGGGCATCAATAGCAAAGGGCCTTCCTCCAGTTTTTGTACGGCAATAGGGAATGTGAAGCTGGTAAATGAGTGAAGACCTGAGGTCAAATTTGTTCTTTGAAACAGAGAGGAGATCCAGCAGGTAGTCTGCGGATATTTTTTGTAAGTGCTTACAAAGAGCACCTTGAGGAGCGTTGCCCTCGACCCCCTCCGGGAGGCTGTACGCTTTCACTTGGCACTCCCGTCCCTTACCGGCCAGTCTGTTGTGTGCCTCCTCAAGCTCCAGCAGCCTGGCTTCGTGGGTCTTCATTTCGCCACTCTGCTCGTCTAGCGTAGTGTGAAGGGTCGTATATGGCTGCCTCCTGCTTCTCTACCCTGCTCAAAAGTTTCTCGACCTCTCGTTGGGGACCTGAAGCAGGCCAGTATTCTCTTCGGTTTTTTTCCAGAAGGGATTATAAGAGCTCTCGTTCCTCCCACTCGTGTCTTCGGTGTCAACTTGAACGGAGAGGCCAGCAGAGACGAACCCATGGCTTTTTTCCCGGGGGATGTCTTCAATGGAGCACGACGATACGGAGAGGAAGTCCCCTTGACCTAGCCATGAGGTCAGGCTCGAATTGCTTACTGAGGCGCCTACAACTAAGCAGTCTGTGGAACACCCTAGGAAGCTCTAAAGTAGAAAACAAGCTTTTCATAGGCCCCCTATAAAGTGCTCACTCGGCCATGACTTCACCGGAACTCGTTTAATTAACACTTTTAAAATAAAAAATCACGACGCAAACTGAATATTTGATTCCGAATCGGTTTTATCACCACCACCATGACGCAGTGGCAAGGCTGGCACATCGCAGTGCAGCTGCTGGGCTGAATCATGTAAATAATCAAACCTAGAAATATCCTTGATGTACCCACAAAAGTCACATTGAGTCTCGGGACTCAGCTCCGTTTTGCATTAAGGTGTTTGATCTTTTCCAAGCATCAGGGTTCCGCACGGAGAAGGAAACAGGAGAAATGCACAAATGTTGAGAAGTTTGCTTGGCGTTAGAAGTCAGTACAGAAAATTTGGCCCCACACCTATCACAATAACGAATCAGTGTTTTACGGGGGCACGCTAAGCGAGGTCTGCCTGTATTAAAATGTACTTCCATCTACGAATCGTGATGTAACAATTTTTACGTGTAACATGCCGCACGGTTTTTCTTGATCTAGAAGGAGAGAGAACAACTGATGATCTGTGTGCTGACGATGGTGGTGATGATGATCTCGTAATGGCTGTTCACTTCGAGGAGTGGGAGAGTCTGATGGAGAACCTGGATCGTTCTAATAAGAGGTAGGGCCTTACCATTTGCCCTACCAAATCTAAGCAATACCTGCCTGGATATTTTGTATATCTTCAAGTACTCCACCCCCCTCAACTCCGCATGATAGGCAGTTGTGGAAAGAGTGGAGGTGTTCCCATACCTGGCCAATTGGGTTATGACCAGCTCCAATTTCAGAGCAGAGGTCTTACTCTGAATTAGTCCAGGAACATACCCTTTTTTTCAGCTGCATGGCGCTGTATAGAAGCTACATGGCCTATCACTCTGTAGTGACTTGTAGCGTCATTCCCGTGCACACACACACACGCGTGACATCACTATGCGGGGGAGCTTCACTACCACACGGGTCTACACATACACACATGACGTCATCCCCTCTGGATAGGGGAATGACGTCATGGCCGGTTCAGGGGATCTGGAGGCCGTGGGTGAGTGCCGCGGGGGTTGTGTGAGGCCGTGGCACTCTTGAGTGAACCCGGCTGGACACGAGACGGGATTTAAGGTTGGGGCCGGGGGCCCCAGGGGCACCTTGGGTGCCACGTGGACAGGAGAGGAGCTTCTCGAGAGTTCTCGAAGGTGGGCGTGGCCGGGGTGTGGCCCGGACACGCCGAGGCGCATATAAGCGGCCTCCGCACCGGGTTCGGGGCTGCTCGTGTCCGGGAAGAAGATGCCTCATGAAGACGCCTCGTGAAGAAGAGTCAAGCCTCAAGTCAGCGTGGCCAACCAGTAGCCCTCCTGGCTTGGCCACACTAGTATCCGAGAGTCAGTGTTAGTGAGTGATGGTGTGTGTGAGCGAGAATAGGTCGGTGGTCACCACCCTATGTTAAGTGTTGCGTTGTGTTAATAATAGTGTTGCCTCCCAAGAAGTTGCGAGTGTGCCTAATACGAATCCATTACAACTCCATACAAAACTCTGTTTTTGCTTTTCCATAGTTGTCCTCTCCCTCCCAACAATGCTCTCTCGAAAGCAAAATGTGGCCATTATTTCGGCGTGACAAACACAACATTGAAAGCAAAACATCAAAAGTGTAATGACTACACGAAAGGCAAGAACCTCAGGGTCCAACAGTTTATTTCTCAAGGGATATTGACAAATGCAGAGCCAGGAGTGGTGGAGGTGGTTCGGCCTGCAGATGCAGGGGTGGTAGCGGTGGATCGACCGACAGATGCAGGGGTAGCGGCGGTGAATCTTCTAGTAGTAGCCGACCGTTGGAGTTCTCGAATAAAATTACGCAATTTGGCGATCCTTTTGACTTTGGCACAGGCGGTGGTGGTGGCACCAATGTTCATGGTGGTGGATGTCCCGGCAGAAACTGGGGAGGGAGTGGTGCATCTACCAGCATGAGCTGGGTTGGTGGTAGCAGTGAGGGAGCTGCCAGCAGCAGCTGGGGTGGCAGCGTTAGATCTCGTGGCAGCAGCCGGGGGGTTGGATCTGTATGTGGCGACCGTGGTGGTAAAGGGGGCGATTAATCTCCAGGCAGCAGCCGGGGTGGTGGTGACGGTGAGGGAGCTGCCAGCAGCTATTGTGGTGGGGGTGAATAATATGCCAGAAGCAGTCGGGGTGGGGGTGTCGATGCATCTCCCAGCAGCATCCCTGGTGGTGGCGGCGGAACTGCATGTGGCTGCCAGGGTGGCGTTGGAGGCAGTGGTGGTGTTGGTGGAGACCGTGGCCGTGGCTTTCTCCAGCTCGTTGAGCTGTCGACGCATCATCTCCAACTGCAGATGGAGCTCCGCATTTTCCCGTTTGTATCCTTGGGTGCAGGAAAATCATCGACAGTTTGGTCAACATTAGCCTCTACATGAGCCTTCTAATCATCGCAACTCTTCAAACTATATTGCTTATATAATGTACATAATTTCAGTCACACCAAAAATTACATATAACACATTAGGGCTGTGGCAATTACGGCTTTGTAATAGCAATATCTTGCCTGTCCACAGAAGCCCATGAACTAACGTTGCACATACAAACCCACAGACTCAGAGGCCCGTAGACTGAGTCACATATAGCGGAGAATAGGGGCAGGAACGCTGTGGTGGAAGTGAAAATATGAACCCAACTGCATCCTTCTCAATGGAACCAGGGACACAAGTGTCATCATAGGCTTTCCTTCGCAATCGAGGATGGTTATCTTCCATATAAAAGTTGGATTTTCTGTGGGTCTAAAGATGGATGAAGAGACCAACCTGGGATCGACAGATTCTGCCGCAACTTGGGCACGTGTCCAGAAATAGTGGTGGGTGGAACTGCGTTAGTAAGTCGGGCTACAGCGTGCTGTTTCCACCAGTCCCGCTTTTCCTCTTCCTGTTCCTGATGTTGAGTTTCAAAATGTTTGGCTCCTTGAAATAGACTCTGTCTCCACCTGAGGTGATCCTGGGCAAGAGACTCCCATGAGTTGGTGTCGATGGAGCACTTCTTCATGTTGTCCTTGAGGACATCCTTGAAGCACTTTCTCTAACGGCCTTCATCCTCCCACTGAATGAAGTTTGACAGCTTTTCATTGAGGCATTGGCGGAAGAGGTCTTGCTTAATCGAGTCCTTGAGACCTTCAATGTTAAAATTCTGTAGGCATCTCTTCCAAAGCAGCCGTCATTTGGGAGCCAGTTGTATGGACATGGTTGAGCAGGTGAGTCGATGATCAGTCCAGCAATCATCAGCTGCTAGAACAGCCTGGGTGATGCAGATATCTTTGCGATCTCGGGCATGGACAATGATGTAATCTATCAAGTGTCAGTGCTTCGATCACGGATGATGCCATGATGTTTTATATTTGTTTTTATGGCGGAACAGGGTGTTGATGATGATGAGTCCATGTTCCGTGCATTTAGTCAAGAGGAGGATGCCGTTGGAATTGACTTTATCCATTCCTTCCTTGCCGATGGTTCCATTACAGAGGTTTAAGTCTCTTCCAACTCTGATATTAATATCACCGAGCAGAATAAGTTTGTCTCCCACGGGAACGGGAGAAAGGTCCTGGTCAAGATTGGCATAAAATTCCTCTGTGGTTTCATAATTGGAGTGAAGAGTCGGGGCATATGCGCTGATGACAGTGGAATATTGGCTCCCCACCACTTTGAGGATGAGGCGCTCACTGATTCTGATAGTTTTGTTTCCACCGCAGTAATGGGGATCCTTCTGAATGTGGTTATCCAGTCGGAAAAGAGTGAGACAGACTGTTTAGGGAAACTTTTTTAGCCCGTTCCCCACGTGGGGTGAGGAGAGTGGATCCTTAAAAAGGACTGCTTAGTCGCAGTTACAGAAACACACTCTTTTCTCCACCGAGTGTTAGACGACCATCTTGTAGCTGCACCTTCGTGCTAGTTTGTGGCTAGAAGCTTCCAGACTTCACAATCGTGCTCCCGTCGTCACTAGCTGGTCGCCAAAGAATTGTATTGAATGTGCCAGAAGATATTGTTCCTTTAATGAAACACGCCTGTACGTGATTTATTTTATTGTGGAGAAGCTGTTGTACAGCAGCTTCCACGCAGTTCTTGATAGAACGGGACAATGAATGCAATGGTAAGGAGATCAATACGATTGGAGATATCGTTCTGCTGCTGTCTTGGTCCGCCTTCACAGCTGTTGAGATGTTAACATCTTCTTCCTCCTGCTCTGCTATTGAGGACTTGTTAACCCATGGTATGCTTATTATAATGGTGGCCTATACTCGCCATGTCACAGCATAGTTAAAGGGTATATGTCGCTTTTAAGAGGAAAAGCATTGGAATCTACAGTCCTAACCACACCCAGGTGGTGCTGTCGCTGCTTGGTACACAACTGCTTATCCGCCAGGGTGGCCGCTGCTTATTTTGCAGCTAACCTTCACAGAAGGTCTTACACTATCTGCCACCTGCGGAGATGCTGGGTAGCAGTGCAGGTCTGCCACCAAAGTGTAGTGGCGGATTATTAATATATATCTACATACATAATTCACAAGTATGAAAAAATAAGAATAGGTTTTACCCTTTCTGGCATTAAATCAGGTGTTAGGATGTTCAAACACCAAATAGATAACTTCGTAAGGAATCAAGTCTGCATTCACCACACATACTTGTGGAGAACATGAAAACAAACATCCTCTGATAATATAGTCTTTGACACTGATTGGCCTACACCAGAGACAGTCTTCTTTATGGCCTAGCCTCACCAGTATTAGACCAGAGAACGCAAAAAGGCGAATAGTACAAAGACAATGCCCTATCAGAGCATTTATAGCTCGGGGCGAGCAGCTATATCATGAGACCTCTTTGCCAGTATCAAAGGAAGAAAAATAGGAATAGGTTTTACTATTTCTGGCAATAAAACAGGTGTTAAGATGCAAGAGTCGGTCATCTTACGGATCTCGCAAATGGAACGAGGGAGAAAAACGTAGGGACAATTGTGTAACATGCCTGCGAATATGTTATTGTATTAAATGAAGGTGCAGCTGAAACAGGCTAAATATTATCATTTCTGAGTCAATGCCTGCGCCCCGCCTTGTGCTCAGTCTCAGTACGGTCCAGGTCCAGTTGACTGGGCTCCATGACCCAGTCAACGCAGCCTCGATTTCTGGAGGAGCTCAATGATGGGACTGTGTCTTGATTTTTAAAAGGTTCTGTGAGCTCGCACAATCCAGTGTCTCTCCACAACCGGACAGCCTGAATGTATCAAAACCAGGCCCAGATATTCCTTTAGAAGGCTCCACGTTTCTCAAGAAGAGAGATGGGAGGTTATAACTGTGGCCAAGAAGACCCGAAGCTTTGTATGGAGTCACAGGCTAGGTATCTTACACAGCTCATGAAAATATAATGCTGCTCGAATAAGTCAGATTGAGACCATGGCTGCCAAACTCAAGTTGGTTATTAGCAGACTGCCCAAATACAGAAACTTCAAACTCTCTCCACAACTGCCCCATCACACGTGCATACATACAGACAAACAGACATGCACATAGACCCTAAAACTCACAAGACAAATAGATGTGTACAGAGACACTTAGACTTGCAGAGATCCATTGACTTAGAATGAGACCCATGTATGTGCATACAGGCCAATACACACACTGAAATGAATATACTCACCTACACGGAGAACCACAGAAGCACATAGACACATAAACACGCTCTGAGGCACGCTGACACGCTCAGAGACACATTGACACGGAAAAAAAGACACATCCTCCATATAGCCTTAACAGACTGTTGGGGCAAGTGCAGATAACGAAAACCTATGAAGGCCGGCACGTATATGAGGGGGTGGGTGGCGAACACCACGTCCGATCGCCTTTATCTCCCCAGTGGCGATGTTTTTACACGCTGTACCAGGTACAAATTTGAGGCTAAGTCGACCTCAGGGAGGGCCAGGACTGGTTTAGATAATCATTACTGGTGTTAGCCATGAGCGGGAATCGAACTCGGGTCGTCAGGTGTGTAACGCAGCGCGCTAACCGCTACCCCACCGTTCCCCACATAAACACGCACACGGACCCATGGACACACACAGAAGCACATAGACACATAGACACATAAACACGCTCTGAGGCACGCTGACACGCTCAGAGCCACATTGACACGGAAAAAAAGACACATCCTCCATATAGCCTTAACAGACTGTTGGGGCAAGTGCAGATAACGAAAACCTATGAAGGCCGGCACGTATATGAGGGGGTGGGTGGCGAACACCACGTCCGATCGCCTTTATCTCCCCAGTGGCGATGTTTTTACACGCTGTACCAGGTACAAATTTGAGGCTAAGTCGACCTCAGGGAGGGCCAGGACTGGTTTAGATAATCATTACTGGTGTTAGCCATGAGCGGGAATCGAACTCGGGTCGTCAGGTGTGTAACGCAGCGCGCTAACCGCTACCACACCGTTCCCCACATAAACACGCACACGGACCCATGGACACACACAGAAGCACATAGACACATAAACACGCTCTGAGGCACATTGACACGGAAAAAAAGACACATCCTCCATATAGCCTTAACAGACTGTTGGGGCAAGTGCAGATAACGAAAACCTATGAAGGCCGGCACGTATATGAGGGGGTGGGTGGCGAACACCACGTCCGATCGCCTTTATCTCCCCAGTGGCGATGTTTTTACACGCTGTACCAGGTACAAATTTGAGGCTAAGTCGACCTCAGGGAGGGCCAGGACTGGTTTAGATAATCATTACTGGTGTTAGCCATGAGCGGGAATCGAACTCGGGTCGTCAGGTGTGTAACGCAGCGCGCTAACCGCTACCCCACCGTTCCCCACATAAACACGCACACGGACCCATGGACACACACAGAAGCACATAGACACATAAACACGCTCTGAGGCACGCTGACACGCTCAGAGACACATTGACACGGAAAAAAAGACACATCCTCCATATAGCCTTAACAGACTGTTGGGGCAAGTGCAGATAACGAAAACCTATGAAGGCCGGCACGTATATGAGGGGGTGGGTGGCGAACACCACGTCCGATCGCCTTTATCTCCCCAGTGGCGATGTTTTTACACGCTGTACCAGGTACAAATTTGAGGCTAAGTCGACCTCAGGGAGGGCCAGGACTGGTTAAGATAATCATTACTGGTGTTAGCCATGAGCGGGAATCGAACTCGGGTCGTCAGGTGTGTAACGCAGCGCGCTAACCGCTACCCCACCGTTCCCCACATAAACACGCACACGGACCCATGGACACACACAGAAGCACATAGACACATAGACACATAAACACGCTCTGAGGCACGCTGACACGCTCAGAGCCACATTGACACGGAAAAAAAGACACATCCTCCATATAGCCTTAACAGACTGTTGGGGCAAGTGCAGATAACGAAAACCTATGAAGGCCGGCACGTATATGAGGGGGTGGGTGGCGAACACCACGTCCGATCGCCTTTATCTCCCCAGTGGCGATGTTTTTACACGCTGTACCAGGTACAAATTTGAGGCTAAGTCGACCTCAGGGAGGGCCAGGACTGGTTTAGATAATTATTACTGGTGTTAGCCATGAGCGGGAATCGAACTCGGGTCGTCAGGTGTGTAACGCAGCGCGCTAACCGCTACCCCACCGTTCCCCACATAAACACGCACACGGACCCATGGACACACACAGAAGCACATAGACACATAGACACATAAACACGCTCTGAGGCACGCTGACACGCTCAGAGACACATTGACACGGAAAAAAAGACACATCCTCCATATAGCCTTAACAGACTGTTGGGGCAAGTGCAGATAACGAAAACCTATGAAGGCCGGCACGTATATGAGGGGGTGGGTGGCGAACACCACGTCCGATCGCCTTTATCTCCCCAGTGGCGATGTTTTTACACGCTGTACCAGGTACAAATTTGAGGCTAAGTCGACCTCAGGGAGGGCCAGGACTGGTTTAGATAATCATTACTGGTGTTAGCCATGAGCGGGAATCGAACTCGGGTCGTCAGGTGTGTAACGCAGCGCGCTAACCGCTACCCCACCGTTCCCCACATAAACACGCACACGGACCCATGGACACACACAGAAGCACATAGACACATAAACACGCTCTGAGGCACGCTGACACGCTCAGAGACACATTGACACGGAAAAAAAGACACATCCTCCATATAGCCTTAACAGACTGTTGGGGCAAGTGCAGATAACGAAAACCTATGAAGGCCGGCACGTATATGAGGGGGTGGGTGGCGAACACCACGTCCGATCGCCTTTATCTCCCCAGTGGCGATGTTTTTACACGCTGTACCAGGTACAAATTTGAGGCTAAGTCGACCTCAGGGAGGGCCAGGACTGGTTTAGATAATCATTACTGGTGTTAGCCATGAGCGGGAATCGAACTCGGGTCGTCAGGTGTGTAACGCAGCGCGCTAACCGCTACCCCACCGTTCCCCACATAAACACGCACACGGACCCATGGACACACACAGAAGCACATAGACACATAAACACGCTCTGAGGCACGCTGACACGCTCAGAGACACATTGACACGGAAAAAAAGACACATCCTCCATATAGCCTTAACAGACTGTTGGGGCAAGTGCAGATAACGAAAACCTATGAAGGCCGGCACGTATATGAGGGGGTGGGTGGCGAACACCACGTCCGATCGCCTTTATCTCCCCAGTGGCCATGTTTTTACACGCTGTACCAGGTACAAATTTGAGGCTAAGTCGACCTCAGGGAGGGCCAGGACTGGTTTAGATAATCATTACTGGTGTTAGCCATGAGCGGGAATCGAACTCGGGTCGTCAGGTGTGTAACGCAGCGCGCTAACCGCTACCCCACCGTTCCCCACATAAACACGCACACGGACCCATGGACACACACAGAAGCACATAGACACATAAACACGCTCTGAGGCACGCTGACACGCTCAGAGACACATTGACACGGAAAAAAAGACACATCCTCCATATAGCCTTAACAGACTGTTGGGGCAAGTGCAGATAACGAAAACCTATGAAGGCCGGCACGTATATGAGGGGGTGGGTGGCGAACACCACGTCCGATCGCCTTTATCTCCCCAGTGGCGATGTTTTTACACGCTGTACCAGGTACAAATTTGAGGCTAAGTCGACCTCAGGGAGGGCCAGGACTGGTTTAGATAATCATTACTGGTGTTAGCCATGAGCGGGAATCGAACTCGGGTCGTCAGGTGTGTAACGCAGCGCGCTAACCGCTACCCCACCGTTCCCCACATAAACACGCACACGGACCCATGGACACACACAGAAGCACATAGACACATAGACACATAAACACGCTCTGAGGCACGCTGACACGCTCAGAGACACATTGACACGGAAAAAAAGACACATCCTCCATATAGCCTTAACAGACTGTTGGGGCAAGTGCAGATAACGAAAACCTATGAAGGCCGGCACGTATATGAGGGGGTGGGTGGCGAACACCACGTCCGATCGCCTTTATCTCCCCAGTGGCGATGTTTTTACACGCTGTACCAGGTACAAATTTGAGGCTAAGTCGACCTCAGGGAGGGCCAGGACTGGTTTAGATAATCATTACTGGTGTTAGCCATGAGCGGGAATCGAACTCGGGTCGTCAGGTGTGTAACGCAGCGCGCTAACCGCTACCCCACCGTTCCCCACATAAACACGCACACGGACCCATGGACACACACAGAAGCACATAGACACATAGACACATAAACACGCTCTGAGGCACGCTGACACGCTCAGAGACACATTGACACGGAAAAAAAGACACATCCTCCATATAGCCTTAACAGACTGTTGGGGCAAGTGCAGATAACGAAAACCTATGAAGGCCGGCACGTATATGAGGGGGTGGGTGGCGAACACCACGTCCGATCGCCTTTATCTCCCCAGTGGCGATGTTTTTACACGCTGTACCAGGTACAAATTTGAGGCTAAGTCGACCTCAGGGAGGGCCAGGACTGGTTTAGATAATCATTACTGGTGTTAGCCATGAGCGGGAATCGAACTCGGGTCGTCAGGTGTGTAACGCAGCGCGCTAACCGCTACCCCACCGTTCCCCACATAAACACGCACACGGACCCATGGACACACACAGAAGCACATAGACACATAGACACATAAACACGCTCTGAGGCACGCTGACACGCTCAGAGACACATTGACACGGAAAAAAAGACACATCCTCCATATAGCCTTAACAGACTGTTGGGGCAAGTGCAGATAACGAAAACCTATGAAGGCCGGCACGTATATGAGGGGGTGGGTGGCGAACACCACGTCCGATCGCCTTTATCTCCCCAGTGGCCATGTTTTTACACGCTGTACCAGGTACAAATTTGAGGCTAAGTCGACCTCAGGGAGGGCCAGGACTGGTTTAGATAATCATTACTGGTGTTAGCCATGAGCGGGAATCGAACTCGGGTCGTCAGGTGTGTAACGCAGCGCGCTAACCGCTACCCCACCGTTCCCCACATAAACACGCACACGGACCCATGGACACACAGAGAAGCACATAGACACATAGACACATAAACACGCTCTGAGGCACGCTGACACGCTCAGAGACACATTGACACGGAAAAAAAGACACATCCTCCATATAGCCTTAACAGACTGTTGGGGCAAGTGCAGATAACGAAAACCTATGAAGGCCGGCACGTATATGAGGGGGTGGGTGGCGAACACCACGTCCGATCGCCTTTATCTCCCCAGTGGCGATGTTTTTACACGCTGTACCAGGTACAAATTTGAGGCTAAGTCGACCTCAGGGAGGGCCAGGACTGGTTTAGATAATTATTACTGGTGTTAGCCATGAGCGGGAATCAAACTCGGGTCGTCGGGTGTGTAACGCAGCGCGCTAACCGCTACCCCACCGTTCCCCACATAAACACGCACACGGACCCATGGACACACACAGAAGCACATAGACACATAGACACATAAACACGCTCTGAGGCACGCTGACACGCTCAGAGACACATTGACACGGAAACAAAAAGACACATCCTCCATATAGCCTTAACAGACTGTTGGGGCAAGTGCAGATAACGAAAACCTATGAAGGCCGGCACGTATATGAGGGGGTGGGTGGCGAACACCACGTCCGATCGCCTTTATCTCCCCAGTGGCCATGTTTTTACACGCTGTACCAGGTACAAATTTGAGGCTAAGTCGACCTCAGGGAGGGCCAGGACTGGTTTAGATAATCATTACTGGTGTTAGCCATGAGCGGGAATCGAACTCGGGTCGTCAGGTGTGTAACGCAGCGCGCTAACCGCTACCCCACCGTTCCCCACATAAACACGCACACGGACCCATGGACACACACATAGACTGATGATAGAATCCCTTACACAGAGATTTACAGGTGCACATAGACACACACTGAGACCGAGAGATGTGCACAGGGACACATAGAAGCACACATATATACTTAGACACGCAGAGCCACTGAGGTGCACACAAACACAGACTCGCACATAGCCCTTAAGACTCACGTCAAGACCGATATACGCACTTACTGTAGCTTTTGTTGACATAAAAGTAGAGCACGGCCCAGAACATCACGGACGCTGCCGTGAACGCCAAGATTGCAGCCATCACTGCGTCGATGCCCGTGGAGGGGTTAGCTTTTGGGGGCAGCTCGCAAGGGCAGCTGTCGCAGGGATTCTCAACGACATCTCCTTCTTCTCCTCCTACAGTGCTGATCCAGTTGAACAACATTCGCCAGAGGAGCTCAAGCAACACCTCGGAATTCCCCATCCTTGCTTGCGAGCTGCTGCGCGTGTCTGGCCGTTGTCCCCGAGTGGCGTCGCAAGAGTGACGTCACGGTCACGTGAACGTGACGTCACCGCAAGTTCCGGTGGGGGCGTTCCCCTAGAACACGGTCACGTGGGCTACTGCAGCCACGCTGCTTGTTACGTAACAGAGCGGCGTTTTGAACCCCACTCTCCACCTCTACTAGGGGAACTCGATTGTTCAGGGTGCTGTGTGGACTTCTCTTTAGCGTGGCCGTTGCTGCTGCTGCTCACGCATGAATACACTGGCAGCGTTGTGTTATTCACGACGTGACAACTTTCATTGGCTATGTCGGGTGGAGGAGGGGTGTACGAAACTAAGAGTGTGCGTCCAGAGACATCCGTGTAGGACAGACAGGGGCCGTCCATAAATGACGTCACGCGATTTTGGACGATTTTTTGACCCCCCCCCTCGTCACACGGCGTCACAAAAAGTCAGACCCCCCCCCCCTCAAATATGACGTCACAAAGTGCTCCCCCCCCCAAAAAATATATAAAGCATGCTTCAAATCGCTTTAAACTATTGTCATTGTTGTGCGTATTTAAAGTGGCGCTGCACTCTGATGTTGTAGGAGAAAACATTTATTTAAAAAGTCTATTTAATTAAGTAGAACGTGTTGTGTCTATATTTATTTAAGTTGCGCATTTTGATGTGACGTCACATTTCTCAACCACCCCCCTCGTCACAAATGTCTGACCCCCCCCCCCCCAGGTGCGTGACGTCATTTATGGCCGGCCCCACACTTGTTGTCTGCTCGTCTTTGTTGTTGTTTATATTTTCCTCAGGGACGCTTCTCTGTTCTATATTATTATTTAGGGGTTTTTTTTTTGGTCGAAATGTAACTCAACGTCTTTAACACAAGCGGCCCGCTTTCTTTGCAAATTAGCTGTAACATTTAATTTCGTTATATACTGTGCACATTTAAACAATAATAATAAAACGTTCATTGCAAGGCGCGCGCTCGGCTCTGAGGTAATAACATTTTAAAATAAAAACCGCCACGCACGTGACCACGGAGACACCGCCCCCACCCCCCCTCCACCGGTTGGGGTGGGGGGAGGGGTCTCGCGCCCACTGCTCCCTGCCCATAAAAGGGCTTGAGACGTCAAGCCCTTTTATGGGCAGGACTCGCGGTTCGTGCCACTGGGTACTGTGCAGGCCGTGGGGGTGCGGAGTTCTCTCCGCGTCCGAATCCGGTGCCAACCCTCCACCCCCGAGGTTGGGATGAACGAGACGGTGGAGCTGGCGGGAGTGTAGAAGTATATACCCATCTTCTTGGTTCTTTCGGTAAAGTCACGTTGAGCTTCCTTCGCGCCGTACGTAGCTAACTGAGATCATCCAAGTGCCATTGAATGCGTCGCCACTCACCTGACATTCAGTTTCCCCAAAATGATGTTATTCTTTGACTAAACTACTAAACAGTAACAAATTAATAAAAGGAATTATTTTTTTGTTAACACATTAAAGTGTACAAAAAGCTAAATAATAACAATAATTAAGAAAATTCAGAAACCCAAACCCAATTAACCTGCACCAAAAGCATTGCGGTGCTTCTGTGCACGTTGAAGAGTGACATTGGCCAGCAACCTGTGCATCCGTGCGTGTGTGCCCGAGGACGTGTGAATGCATTTGAGTACGTAGCTGCGTGTGCTCATGTGTAGAATTAACCCATTAACACCTGAGAACAGACCCAGGTGTTATGGGTCTGCCACAGCAAGCCTTGACACTTCACGCGATGGCTTCAAAGTGCACCGAGCCTCGCACAAACGCCGTGGTGACATCCCCGCCACTTAGCGGGCAAACGGCAACCGTTGTTGTTGTGTTTAGAGGGTTACCCATACATGCCAAGTTGATATTCTGGTTGCTGACCATTGGGGAAAGGTGTTTCCTGGTGAGTCTGCGCTCCCGCATGTGGACGTGGCACCGTGCGTTTCCCCCTTAGAAGATTCTCTCGGATTCTGCAAATCGGACGGTCTTGGTCGCTTTCTCGCTCGCGACTCTGCTGTCTCCGTGGTGTCCGGCGTTCTGCGGAAGGGGTCGGGGGAAAGGCCAAAGATCGAGACGTCATCGTGGCCAAAGCCGCAGACGCCACCGCTGCACCTCGCGGCCAACGTTCTCTACGCTTGGCCAGATCTCACAGCTTCTGCGGAGGAGAGGCACTCAGCGACCTCCAAAATATGCCCCTGATGGTCTCCCACCATCGGCCCCTTGGGTCTTCCCCTTAGTCATGGGACTCAACCACAGGGAGAGGTGGGAAGCAAACAAAGCCGAGTTGGTACCAGTGCCAAGGAAGTCACATCTATGAGTCATCAATATCAATAGGAAAATACATCAGAGGGTTCTTTATTCATTAATTCATGACTCACATTGGACTTGAAAATGACATTTGGAGGTGCAGGAGAGTAAATTAAAGAAAAGTTTTCAGACAGAAGGTTGACAACGATGCTGATGTGTGGCGCAGTGAGAGGAAGGATAGGAACTGCTGGTGACAAAGATCCCCCATATAGACTAAACAGACTGTTGGGGCAAGTGCTGTTTGTGGGAAAATATGAAGGCTGGAATAGCACACGAGGGCTTGGGTGGCTAGCACCATACCCGACCTGCTTTGTCTCCCCAGTGGCAATGTTTCACACCTTGAGGCGAAGTCGCCCGTTCAGATAATTGTCGCTGGTGTTGGCCATGAGCGGGAATTGAACTCGGGTCACTGGGCCCGCAGCGCTCCAACCGCTACATCACCACTGCCGATTAACAACATCAATAACAACCTCTATCTGCAACTAAGTGGCGGTGATGTCACCACATCACTTGTGCCAGGCTTTGTGGACTTTCAGGCCACGTGAAGTGCCAAACGCCTGCTGGCAGGAGGTCACAGGACAGACCCAGGTGCGATGGGTTTACTGACTGAGATGGCTGGCAGATGCACCACCTGTGCCCCCTACTTTGCTGATGAACACACAGACACATATAGACATACACAGAGGAAGGAGCTCCAACAAGAAGACCCCCACCCCCCATATTAAACTATCGTGGGGGAGTAGGGGAGAGTGGGGGTGGGGGGGGCACTCACCTGCACGGAGTAGTTGCTGTACACGCACTCTCCGTACGTGGGCACCAGGCGTAGGTACGGGTACTCCGTCTCCCGCCTGCAAGAAAGAGCGGCGGTCACGGAGAGGAGGACGGTGCTCGTGGGGTTCGGTCCGAGCGGCCGGGGTCGCAGCGCCGTTGGGAATTAAACTAAAAACCAAACTATTTTTATTTCATCAGGTAAGGCCTCAACTGAGCTACATCGCTTTTTTTCGCAAGTGACCTGGACACAAAGGATAGCTCAATGAAGTGGCGTATCATGTGGAAATGCACAGCCACCAAATTTTTTAAATGCATGATTCTAAATGTGGAGGGACAAACCAGAGGACCCGCAGAAAAATCCACACGATCACGGCGAGAGAGAGACACTCAAACACCAACTACACAGCAGGCGTCAGGGTCAGGATCAAACCCACGACCGCCTGCAAACCAGGCGAGGGAGATAACATCTCGTCGCTGTGGCACCCATTATATTTAATTGGCACTCGCTGCAGGAGCCACGGGGCCCTTACTTGGCGGCAGTGTTCACCACGGTGGACGACTGCATGGTCGACCTTTGGCTCATGGACATCCTCAACCTCTCCATCTCCTGTGCACAGACAAAGATTCCCCGTTTAGGTTTAACAGACTGTTGAGGCAAGTGTTGTTAGCGAGCACCTCCTCTGCACACACACACACACAAGTTCACACATGTAGGGCAGCATGGTAGCAACGTCGTGGTAACACTTGCGCCTCGTGAGCAAGAAGCACCCGGGTTAATTTCCTGACTCGGACGCCCCTCTGTGTTTGTATGTTCTCCCCCTGTTCTGCATGGATTTCCGAAGGTTTCTCCTTGTTTCCTCCCATAACTAAAATAATCGCACAGTGTAACCGGTATTGGCCAAAATATCTGAATGGTGAAAAATACCTGAAAATTTACTCAATCAGGATCGCAGGGAGCAGTAGCAACATCGCTCCCCTCCAGTGAAAAAAACTTCGCAGGACCCTTCCGGAAAGAAAATCTTGAGACTCCGTAACCCTGTTTGTCTGGTATGCTTCTCTCTGTGTCCCCTGTTGTATCTGTGTCAGTTCCCCCTACTTGGGTGTCTGTATATACATCTGAGGTTGTGTGTCTCCCCTCTCTCGTAATTTAGCTCTTCTGTACCTGATGATGGCTGCTTGTGTTGCAACCGAAACGTCGTACGCTATTATGTTATTTTATTATTTCTTATTTATTCGTGACTTTACCGAAAAAACCAAAGAGTAATCCCTGCAGTCACGAAAGCTTCAAATCAAGTCAGTCGGAGGAATGTCGTGCAAAAGTGAATTCAAACTCTTACTTGCCATACAGTTATCAAAACGTTACGCGATTACTGCATTTATTGCATTTCTACATTTAGTGCTACAGCAGCAATAGCAGCAGCTACATCATCGTCATCAGAACAACATCAATGTCAACAGCAGCAGCGACAGCAATGTAATTTCAGCATCCTGATCATGACGGCCATCATCTCCTTAACCGTAAAACTTCATCTGTTGTCGAGAGTTGAGGTTGTTGTGCATGCACAAAGCCAGAGAACTTCACTGGAGATTTATTCCGGGTCACTTTAGCCTGGAGCCTTGCATAGGGAAATGACTGCACGTTAATGCAAAATGTAACCGAAACTCCCTATTTACATATTTTCTGTTTCCTAAATTTAGTATAAACGTAATTTTAGCATATCGTGCATTTCTCCATCTAGTGTTACAGCAGCAGTTACATGATCAGAAACAGCAGTAGCATCATCAGCATCTGTCGGGGAGGCTGACCCCCGTCCCCTCGCTCATGTGGGATCCACTGCTCCCCTCTTCCGTGTCCTGGGAGGGTTGCTGTTCACCGACTCCCCCCCCCCTTCGCTGGGGCCCCTCGGGGCATGATCCGCGGCTGGCGCGTAGCCACCTGGGATTAATTCGCACCTGCTCCCCCTCGCGTGCTCCTCTAAAC